GCAAGTGTTTTTTACACATCAGCTGGTGTGGCACCTAATCATAAGGTGTAACTTAAAGGGTAAAATGAATACTGAGATACGTGTAGGACTTCAAAACTGTTCACCCTATAGTTTTCAGAAATAAAAGAGCGTCCCCCAGAACTACGAAATGCTTTTACCTCACAAACTTGAATAGTGGAGCAAGGCTGTGTTTTCACAATTATTGCTAATGAGGCGCTGTTATTTTTGTTCAAAGGTGATTGCTTTCACAGAAAGCTATAGTGGTTTTACTGGGTTCACGTGACAGATAGGCCTAGTGTTGTTTAGCAAGCGAGGGAAGGTGGACAGCTTTTGTAACAATGTAAGGAGTTTTCCAGAGGAATAGATGACTTTCAGCTGTTTGTAATTCGGAAAAATAACCAGCCGATGACTTGGAAAGCATCCCTATGGAGAACATTGCATCCATGTTCAAGACAATCATCTGCCCTAAGTTTTCATCAACTGGCAGGTTAAGAAGTGTTATCAGTCGCCAGAACCAGGAAAAATACATAATTGAAGCTGCTGCAATACACTTGTTGTCCCGGCATTGGCAGATCCAGGGGCCAACGGGAGCCATGCATTCAGTCCTTATACATGCGTACTATTTAATGTCAGAGGTGATTTTTTGATTGTTTAATTTCTATTCTATGATCCCAAAGTCTGTAACAAGCCCCGCAGTTAAAAGGTTTGGTGTGCGGAGGATAACCAACAGAGAAACTTTGTATCTGCAATTATTATATAAAGAGAACTATTCCTAACAGTAGGCACTCCAAATCAACAGAGCAGTCGAGTCCTCGGCAACGACTAACAGGAAAAGCTCAAAGAAAAAAATCACAAAGACTGACAATCGACACCAGCGACCGACTCAAAGCACTGGATGAAACTTGGCACTGCAGTAGAAGCTTCCATGTTACAATACTTAAAAATCCATTTTCTTCATTCGGGTTGGCCACCGTTTCTGGCTTTTCTTTGCAACACTGTCCAACACTGGACATTAGAATCCCAAAACTGACCTGGAAAACTTGAATACAGTGAAGTAAAGGAAACTTTTGGTATTGAAAAGAGTTACAATCTTGACTATACAAAAATCTTACCTGCTCGGTGACCCTTTAGCATAGAAACCACCTGTTGGTAGTAATACTTGGGCCTGAACCTAGGCCTGCAATCCCTATCAGGCAACTTCAAGTGGATGCGTTCCATATGGTCTTATAACGTGTTGTCATGAGAGTGGCCTTGGCAATGACTGAAATCGACAGGAGGTTTTGCACCTCCCCTCAGGCCTTGGACACTTCCATGTTTGTATTACCTCCGGCATCCGTCCGGCACATGGCTTCCATTCATGAAGATCTCCATGTTCAACATCAAACTCGCTCCATCAAAACTATTTAAACTGTAGCCGTTTGGCTTCCAAATGGTATATTGGTGTTGCACAGGAATATGCAATGACTGGATGTCGGCCAGATTGTGAGGAAAGACATACCAACTGCCGATTCCCATGAAATGTCATGAAAGCATCTGTCTCTTGTGAAGTTCTGCCAACGAAGAACTACGCACTCCGAGGACCTCGGAGGTGATGTTTTTGCTTTCGGCAGCAATCAGATCAATGGGTCATTCGATAAATCCACCGTGACGCTGTAAAATCCTTAACTAGAACGAAATGATTTCTCATACATTTATACAGAACTGTATTACTTTTGCCCTTTCTGCATGCTACAACACCTAGGCCTAGTATTCCGCTGTCTGTCCTCCACACAGACAGCGAAGGGGACATCTTCCTAAATATTTGAAAGTTCCCAGGCCCGGCGCTTCTTTTGACCACTCAACCCATTTCAACGCCAGGGTCTAGAATCAAGGGTACATATACATTGTCGTTACCTGGGGAACCCCAGTATGAGGTTATCCCGAGTTTTCGCGGTCAAGGCTGTTGTCGGCTGAGGTTTCACGGACCATTACTTTGATTTGACAATTAATTACGCCATTCGGGAATGGAGTCACTGAAGACAGCTGACAGCTGTGACCTCGAGCGAAAACCACAGAGGGAAGCAACGCCCATGGCGATGAGACGTCCTACGGTAACTTTTATAGCTCAGGGAGGGGGGGACACGGTCGACCACAGAGCAAAAGCGAATACACTTTTCCCCATACATCCACACTCGCTCGCTAGTTGAAGTCGTATGTGGCAAATACCGGGCACGAAAGTCAGAAACAAATTCAACTCCTCTCTTCATTTCAATTCAGGTTAAGCTTGCATGTACGAATTTGAAGAAAACAGATATGAAATGACTGCACATCCTTGATTTTTCCTTGGACTGATGACAATCCATAGGACATATAAGACAGGGAAACATTACTGTCACGG